AACTCTTCCTTCTTTTTCAACCACACATTTTCAATTAATATATTATTTCAAAATACATTCTTCCAAAATAATGTGACTCAAAGTCTCAAACACACCCTTATTGAGTGTTTTTAAGAACGAAATTAGTTTTATTGAATAATAACTATATTTTGCAATTTTGTGCCCTCGTGTTTGACAGTTGGGCCCCCCTTCATTTATGTGCATGGAAGATGTGTCCATAAAATTTATGTGGACATCACCTTTCATTAATTTGGTCCACATTGTAATGAACTTGGTGGGGTTCTTACTTGCACAAATTTGGTGTATAAATTGGTGGGGCACATGAATATCCCATTTGCATAAACTTGTCTACTAGGGAAAGAAAACCTTTATCGATCTCTAACCGTGTTTATGAAGCAAAGCATTAAGCCTCTTACATACGCAAACAAGCGAATTGGACCGCGGCCGCAATTTTCCCTTTGCTATTTTGTGCCCTCGTGTTTGACAGTTGGGCCCCCCTTCATTTATGTGCATGGAAGATGTGTCCATAAAATTTATGTGGACATCACCTTTCATTAATTTGGTCCACATTATAATGAACTTGGTGGGGTTCTTACTTGCACAAATTTGGTGTATAAATTGGTGGGGCACATGAATATCCCATTTGCATAAACTTGTCTACTAGGGAAAGAAAACCCTTATCGATCTCTAACCGTGTTTATGAAGCAAAGCATTAAGCCTCTTACATACGCAAACAAGCGAATGTGCCCCCATCGAATTTATTTTTTCCGAAAAACTCCCACTACCTTCCGAACGGACTTAAAGCTCACGATATTTGTCTGTTTTAGAATAGATTTAATTATATTTAAAAGTTTAAATTATTAAAGATAAAATAAATTTATTTATTTAAAATTTCCGATTATTTTCTTCAAGTTGACCTCATGCATGGACAATCAATAGTTGCAGCACTCATTTATTTATTCACCAATATATAAATTTGTATATATAGATATAACATGTACAAAATTTACTTGTAGGCTTGGATCTAGGTATAAAAAACCAGAGGACCAAACAATCAAAACAGAAAAGCTGTCGGAGAGAATGCAGGCACGGTTGCTGAAATCGAAGCTCGCCTGCACCAAAAAGAAAAGAAGCAAAAATTTAACATAAATAAATAAAAATAAATTAAGGGTCCATTAAATTCAAACAAATAATTCGATCGGTTCGTCTGTCTAGTTTTTACCTGGTATCATCAGAATATGAAGGGTCCTGATATTTTGATCCAACTTTTCTCTTGAGGTTTCTATCGAACCCTACAACGTGTGGCCGCGGTTGATTATTCCTCTCACCCAATATATTGTTTTCCGAGATTGACGACAAAGATGGACTCCACTCACCGGCGGACTTCATACCAACCACCTTCCCCCGCTTCCGTCCGACGCGGCGGCAAGCTCCCGATGCCACCAGCGATCTGGATTCCTCCGCTGGCTGCCGAACTTCCGAGTCAGCAGACGAAGAACCATAACATGTGACTAATTCTAATAGAAACTTCATGTTTACCTTACACACACAGGTGAGGAAAGTGGTAGTCATGGTTGCAATGCAGTGTTTATATAGAATAAAGGTTTTGTCTTGAAGCTGGAGTGGGACGAATTTGCCACTGAATTGTAGTTTTATTACTTGCATACCCTCCGATATTATTGAGTTAAGGGATGCGTGACAAATTTTTCGATACATTTTTTAGCGGATTTTGATAAAAAGTGATAAAATATACTATTGAAAAGTTTAAAAATTGTCGATTCCACAAAATGTTTAGTTAAAATTGAAATTTGACAAATTAAAATAACTAAATTTTATCAAACAAGGACTAGTTTTTTATCCACCAAATCGCTCGTCGACATAAAACTTGAGAATATTATGCGATAACATAAAACTTTAAAATTCGAGGCCAGAGTCAACAATTAATTTGAACTATGCATTTTATGAAACTCACAACTTTTATCAATTTTTCAACCACACATCCCATCAAACTTTTATTACTAAAACTATTTATCATGAGCTCCGTCAAACCTCCCCCTAAACCATGGTGGCAATATAAGTATAACCCCTTGTCCCATTCACCTTCTTATTCGAAAGTTAGACCAATTTAGTCACATTAGCGACAAAAAAAGTAATAACTAATAACTAACATCAAAATTTCCCATATAAGTAACTTTTTATTGTCGTATCGAATATGCCCTCTTCTCGAAAACTCCCCGTCTCATTCAAGAAAACAACTACGCAGTATCTCATCAATACACAAAAAATTGTTTCAAGTCCCATTGAAAATGCCAAATGGTGCCTAGAGAAGAAGCCGCATTTAAATTGCTTTCATCTCAACTTCCAACTAATATAATCTAATTACTCCAAAAATGACTCTCACCATACTTCAAATGAAATGACAAAACTTAGCTTGAAATATCAAGTGTATAGTAACTATCGAAGTTATTAGTATTAATTTGTCGAGATGTTTCCACTACTAGGCAAATGCTCCACAGCCATTGGTCGAATTGAATAAAAACTGGTCCCCTTGGAGCCAGCTGTTTGCCAGAATTGATAGGTGCACTCATTTGAATATAGAAAATTAGTCATTACGTTACAAATATAAGCATCACGTCACACAATAAATGGATATTTCATAATAAGACAATTACGATACATGTGGTGCACATTATTATCGTATAAGATTCATTTAATCAATATTTACATGGTGTTGGAGTGTGATTGGAGAAATACGATTGTGGTCATATTCAAATTAACATACAATGTTCATAGACGAAGATGTTCATATTAAATTAACTCTCTGTTAAAATTGCTTCAACTTACCTACTCGATATAAAACCAAGTAGACATGTCATCTCATTCGATCGGAGGTCTCTTGCCTCGTGATTTTCTGGCCAAGTATTTGGTTGTTGACATGTATCATTCACACACATTTGTTTAATTTACCGTACTAAACATATCATTGATACAAAACCATTCCACTTAATGTGCATCTCAACTGGTGCAAACAGTCGAGATATGCACCTTAATCTAGCTTCAGAATTACTAAGGCCCTGTTTGATAGAGATTAAATTTTCTACAGTAAATCAATTCTCATTTTCAACCACACATTCTTCAATAAAATAATATTTTCCATCACATCCATAACTTTTTCTTCTTTTTCAACCACACATTTCCCATTACTAAACATATCATTGATACAAAACAGTTCCACTTAATGTGTACCTCAACTGGCGCAAACTGCCGAGATATGCACCTTAATCTATCTCCAGAATTACTAAATAGATAAAGGAACACAACCCAAACACACACCACTTGATATTCAAAAGCTCTATTTGATCAAAAGAATGACATTTATCAACCAGTGGACCTTTTTTCCAATCAGGGTTGATTGTATGTGGGTGCATTATTCAAGGATGGAGGAGGAGGTCTTGGTATAGCATACTCTGCAAAAATAACCAACCATTCAGAAACTACAAATAAAACATAAGCATAATCATGAATCAAACTATGGAATCAAGGAAACTTTTCTACCACCCTAAACATAAAAGAGAAAAACAAGGTAATGCACTGGCATGTATGTAACAACACATCACAAAAGTGAACATGTTTGGACCTTATCCAGTTTGGTCCTTACCACAAAAGAACTAGAAGGGGCAAATTTAATACAGATTAACCATCAAAATACGTCGTCGTGCAAATTCATAAACAGAGACTGGAATTAAAATGTGCTTCTTTTTCTACTTGTTCTTTCCCTCACCCTTTACAGAATTCCTCATACTATCTCCTTCAAACAGAAACTAGAACTAAAAGATGAGGGTGGGAAAATGGAACCAGACAGTTCGGTTCCGTAAAGGAAAAAGTCGGTTCTGGTCATGTAAACCGAGAACCGGATGGTCCAGTTCCCAGTGTTGAATGCAGAACTGAAAATGGAATCAATTCCCTGAGATGTGCATTGCACCAGCTGATAAGGATTTAGATATGTAAATACAATCAAAGTCGAAAGGAGAAGAAAAAATCAGTCAGTAAATTTCCTCCTCTCTTCTACCCTCAAACTCTGCAAAATTTTCACCCTACTTAAGACTTAAGAGAAAAACCCTTATTTCAAATAAAATAGGTGAGAACTTAAAAAACCTTTTTGCTGATCATAATTATGTTTCCATGGAAATCTAAATGAATTGTAATTATGCTTATACGTAAGTTCTACTGCATGAACTTAGACGAAACACAAAGACCCACTCCAATGAGCCAAAAGAACACAACAGTTTTAACACTTGATCTTTAATTTACAAACTCTTGATATATATATACACACGCACACGTTCATGCTCACCCTGTTTTCTTCAGTTTACTGGCAAATTAATATATTTTGCTGCGTATTTTTTTGGGTTCATCACAGCTTACCTGTATTTGTAAGGCTTAGATATAGGTTCTTCTGTTCTTATTCGTTTTCAAGCAAATTAGAGGACTGGAACCAATTGGTTTGGTACCAGCAGCATTTATGGAACGTTGGTTCCGCATAGAAATTTCCATTGGGAACCGGTACGGTTCAGTTCTCAAGAAACCTGGACCGAATCACCTGGTGCCCACCCATGCCAAAAGATACTTTAAAAGAGCACAAAAAGTTTTCTCAACATGAGCTAAAAGATATCTGTTAAACTATCTGAACTCACCTGGCCATCCATGCCGTTTATACCAGCCGCAGCATCCTCTACAGTAGCATATCTTACAAAACCATAACCCTTGGAATAGTCAGATACACGGTCAGTCACTACCTTAGCTGCAAAAAGGGAAAAGAACATGCCATCCATTATTTGGTGTCGAAACTATATAAGTTAATTTTTCATAGGAACTGAGAAATGGAAATAACATGGAGCACTTCACCAAACTTTGCAAAGGCATTTCTAAGCCCTTCGGTAGTTGTGTGTTTGCTAAGCCCTGAACCTTAAATAAACAAATAAAGGTCCAGTGAAACTTGCAGACAGGTCTTCGTCTCTAAAGACCAAAATATACACCGCACCACAACTGATGACAATTTATAATTACCAAAGGTAAACAGAAACAAGGAAACAAATTGAATTATGATAGATAGAAATAGCCCAGGGGATGGCGGGTTTTACTAATTTTGCATTAATGTAACACCACAACTTGGTTATGAAAAGCTAAATCTAAATGTTTCCATGAAGAAAAAAGGAGGAACATGACAAGGCTACCAGAAGCAGCTTTCTCAGAATAGTGAGAAAGCAACATGAACCGAAAAGATGAGCATATATCAAGAACTAGCTTTTCCATAGCACACTAAATCTTTTCTTAACATCTAAGAACTGTTCGTTGAAAGAATTTGCATCCACAGAAAAAAGGTGTAACCCATAGCCACTCGGAAACACCCTGGATGAGAACATATACTGAAAGAAAAAAATTGAGATGCCAAGGAACAAAGCACCCCAAATAAATAAACTAAAAATACAAAATGAAACAGAAAACTGGGTGTGCACATGAATACAAACCAAGATTCATGCCACTACTAAAATAAAGAGGGTAAAAATAACATATAGAGACATCAGTTGCTTAATTGTGGAATGAATATTCCTCGATCCCATAATGAGCCTAAATCATCAAATTGATCATTATTCGTTGCTACTCAAGTTAGAATTCAAGAGAAGAAATTCATAAAGGGAGGAAATGGGGTATAAGAAACAGATGACAATTGAGTCTATATTCATTTAGATATTAATGGAGATGAAGAGCAAATAATATGCAGCTACACTTCCAACCGTTACCTCCAGATGATTGTTTATAGAAGCCTCTTTCCCAATAAGAAAAGTTCATTCAAAGAAATAGTTAAGCACTGCCTTGCAACATGAGCATGATTTGAATCAGTGATTTTTAATAATAAATATTAACTTTTATATAGTTATCATGAGCATGATTTGTAGTCTTGGAAATTTTTAATTATTTCAACGGTTTATGGAAAAATCTTCACTTAGGCTTTTTAAACACTGGTCAGGTCCAAAATGAACTGTTTGACAATTCAAATTGGACATCTTAAATATATTCATTCATAGATTCATACTAATGCAGTCATGCATACTGGCCTTAAAGCTAAGATGGTTGGGCAGGTCATCAGGGAAGCTATATATAGTTTACTAGCTATCAGAAGAACCAATCTAGTTTTCTACAATGAGTTATAAAGGTGTGGATGCCCAGATCAATCAGTAAGTTTTAACAAGAAAGCAAATTTTATTCTGCGCTGTTCTTTACAAAGCATAAGCATTGATGAGAGATTAATATATCAAGCTTGGAACTTTAAACATCATTGCATAAATATGATAGTTACAACCCGTTAATCTTATATTCTTAATGACCTAGTCGCATAGCAGAAAATATAAACTCCGTGCCTACCCACTGGACTTAACCGACAAGCGAATACATAATATGCTCAACAGATTCTACATCCAATAGATTTTTGCCATAAATTAAACCAATGTATCGAGTAACATAGCAATTTATACCAATCAGTAAAAACCTACATTAAATTAAAGCTAAGAAAGGAAATTTGGAAAAAGATGAAGCTATATGTACCCGAAACGAAGAGATTTGTGGAAGGTTCTGCAGGAGGTGGCTTCTCTGTTTGAATCTGTGGTAGATTAAACGGAAAGCCTGAAGTTAACGACGAATATAGAACCCTTAGACCTCTATGTGCCACTAAGGTAGCAGCCGAAGCCGACGTCGTCTGGACCGCCGCTGCTCTCATCGCCATTTGTGGACAAGGGGGGGTGCGGGGGGGTCGGAAATTTTTGGACCATTTTATAATCAGGTGGGTCCTGCATGGGACCCACCTCTTGTGAGAGGTACATTCAGCTTATGTACATTCAGCTTAATTCAACTGGAACTGGGGTTCTAACTAGAATTCTAGAGGGAGAAAATGGTTTGAGAAGTTGACGTGGCAAATTAAAATGGATTTGCTCATTAAAATAAGCCAATAGTTGACGTGGCAGTACGTAATTGGAGTGATGACAAATTGACAGCAGTGCACTGAACCGGATAAGAAAGTCTACGGTTTAACAAGCCCAACCCGGACGGCCCATTCCAAAACCACCAACTTTTACCCATTTATTATTATTAATATAATATTCTGTTCAACAGAAGAAGAGTGAATTCCCCATTATCAAATCCCCAAATAATCGATCCTACAATTTCCATTTCGAAAGCCCTAGCACCTCATTCTATTTATCATCTGGTAATTATTCTGATCTGTTGAGTTTTATGTAATCTCCTTCTTCTGATAGCGAGGTTTCCTTAATTATTATGTGAACTTGTGGATTGGGTTTTATTTTATTATAATTTATTTTTCAATTCTATTCCTTCATTTTTTGTCAATTCGATCTGATATATTCTGGATTTTTTTAGGACTAGTTTATTAGTCTTCGAGCTTCTTCACTGTTGTGAGTAAAGCAAAAGATTTGGTGTTTGAGTGTTGCAAGATTAGTTTCTGATCGTCATTGTGTAAGGAGCAAAATTCAAAATACAGCGACCAGGTTCAGGGGGCGACTTGCCCCTAGTTGGCGAGTTCAGCTCATTCCCAGTAACGAGGAGGGTCAACTCCTTCCAATCTGTTCCAATGGATGATGATATGGAGGGTGGTAACTTGGGGCCTTACCAAGAAAGGGCAAGGGTATTCCCTAACATGCGGGCTAAACCATATACGCCCTTGGTAAGCCCATTTACATCTTATTATCTCCAACTTAATGACACTTTCTGTGCCATTGGCATCTTTATAAATGTGATTTTACCTTTTATGCGTACTTTTTGCTTCTTTCTTCCGGAATAGTTCTTTTTTTCTTTTTCAGTGGCATTTCCCTTGTCTTTTATTCATTTTAGGTTTGTGCGTGTTACTCTTTTAATGCCGTAGCATAGCAGCATTGTGTCCCTTGCCTGGATATCAACATTTGATTATAATATGGTAGTACAATCATATGTTATTAACCTGCTCTCGACTATTTTTAGGATTTGCCTTTCAGGAATAACGCGCTGATGACTATTATTTGTGAACACTGATGATTCTTTTCTATATGCATTTTGAAAGATTAATAGAATGTTTCTATATACCCAAACCACGCTTAATGCTTATTAGAAAGGTAAGGCCGAATATGTGACACAATGCTGATGATAATCATTATTATCATTTTTATTGAAAATGCTGCATCTTATGTTTGATGACAAAGGGGAATAAGGATACAAGATTCTAGCATAAATTTCTCTTTAGATAAATAAGAACCATATAATTCTTGGTTGGCTATATAATGTGTTTTAGTTCTATAATTTCCTTTCAAAATTTATGATGAATTAGTTAATTTTGCGTCAGTTTAGAATTTATAGGGAGAACTTATGTTAGTTTTTTTACTTAAAGTGAGAATTAAATTTAGTACTTGCTGTTTACACTTGGAAAATCAAAACGAGTACATGGAAAAAGTACACTTGGCAACATGAAAGTAGTCCATCAAACAATCATTTTGAATGTCTTGTTTAGGTATTGTTTGAGATGATGCTCACACCTGATATTGAGTTGTGAATTCCACTTTGAGAACCTCTGAGAATCTTTTTCTAAAACTAGTAATTCAGTGATGTGAAATCAGATAAAAATTTCGTTTTCTTAATTCCTTAACCATTTCTTTATAGGGAATGCCATTATTTATTATAAGATCTGAGTAAAAAAATCTTCGGTTGCTCTGCTACCCATGTCAAGTCTCAAAAACCCTAAGAACTTCAGCCGATGAAGTTTGATGTAAAATATCTACTTGTTTTTTCTAATTTTGCTACTGCTTGACTGCTGATTTTTCCTTGTATTTAATGCAGCTTTTAATTTTCTTTTTTGCTTTTAGTATTGATGATTGAGCACTTGCTTTCTGCAGATCTTTCGCCTCCTCATGAGAATAAATATTCGTGTTCTTTTTGTGCTTATGCTCTTGGGATTTGGAGCTATCTTTTATATTGGTGCAAGTACCTCGCCGATCATTGTATTTGTCTTCTCGGTTTGCATAATCAGTTTTTTACTGGCAATATATCTTACTAAGTGGGTCCTTGCGAAGGATGAGGGACCTCCTGAGATGGTCCAGGTACAGTTGTTCTCAACCAGACAATCATAATTTACCGTTTTCAAATTACTATTCGAAGGCTGTTGATAATTCTTGAATTGTCTTCAATATTCATGTATGAAATTGACAGACACCCCCCCCCCCCACCCCCCAAAAAAATAAAAATAAAAAAATCATAGCACATATGAAACCATTTCTTTTCTGTGATATTGTAATTGAGTTATATGCCCTTTTCTGGTATTTTTCAGGTATATGTGTTTATAAATTTAGGGTCCCTGAATTTACATTTAGTTTTGCACCCAGTTCCACTAGGTTGAGATCTACTACCTATGAAGTTTTACTTGATTTCCTCTGCCTTGGGAGCTATGCCAATTGACAAAAAGAAATACATGGCTCTACATAATGTTAACTATTAAAAAAATATATGCTGTTGAGGCAACCTGTTGGGCCTTTCCTAATTGCGAGCTTGGGGGACCTGGATTGAGTATATACATGATACATGAGTACTTGCCTACTTGTTAGTAATGGACTTGTGGATCTGTGCTTGGCTTTTTAAATACATTTTAGTGTTTGATGTCTGATTTGTAGTTCATATTTCCCTTCGGAAGATACGAATTTGGAAATTTATTGTTAGTTCCTACTTATTTTTCTCCTTCCAAGTGAATGTAAAAGGGTTAGCTGCCTAGGGATTATGTTCAAGCTTATCTAATTTCCAAATTAAATTAAAAAAATAATCTTATAGTTCGTCCAGTTAATTAAGAAATTTGACATGTTAAGGAGCCATGCTAATGCATACACATTGATATTAGGGATTTTACAAGGATGGAATGCACAAATAGAGAGGTCCTAACATTCACCTATCAAAATATTACCTGCTAGATTCCTGTGTTTTCTCATGGTAGATTCCTGTGTGTGTGTGAGAAAATTCTCATACCTTTCTCTCTCCATTATGCTAACCTCAAACTCAGGCTTTCCTGCGATATGAAACCAATGCCATATTGGTGTACACTGTAATATAGCTTCTGTTTTTTCTTCTTATCTGCTTTGTGTATTATATATATTTGACATATTGTGCATAACCAGGGGAAGTTTCATGTTTTACACTGCCAGAGAGTCTCACAGAGCACTTTTCTAATTTTCCTTCTTGATTGGTGCCTGTTAGTTTGTAGTTAATGGGTTTTGTTTGAGCCTTTTCTCCATAAAGTAGTATACTAACACTTGTTACAAGTATCGGATTTGAATGGAACTTATGACAAGCAACTATTTTTTATATCATCTTAAAGGTGGTTTTTTTTTTTTTATTATCTCAGTGGTCTTGAGCTTATCATTTTACTTGCTAGATATCAGATGCTATACGTGATGGGGCTGAAGGTTTCTTTAGAACTCAGTATGGAACTATCTCAAAGATGGCTGTGCTTCTAGGGTTGGTGATCCTCAGCATATACCTGTTTCGCGGTAAAACGCCTCAACAAGAATCTTCTGGCCTAGGGAGGTGAGGATAGAGTGACTTAAAATTTGGGTTATGGTTTTCAACTTTTCATGTACAATAAAAGGTTCTTAAATATAAATGGTAAATTTGGGCTATACTGATGCAGGTCAACGTCGGCATTTATTACTGTCGCTGCTTTTCTTCTTGGGGCCTTGTGTTCTGGTATTGCTGGTTATGTGGGGATGTGGGTATCTGTTCGTGCAAATGTAAGAGTCTCAAGTGCTGCAAGGCGATCAGCAAGGGAGGCATTGCAGGTTTTCTTTTTTCTTTGTTTCTCCCCATATATATTTTTACTTCGCTTTCAACTGAAATGCATTTAGACACTAGCTTGAGTTGGCATTAATCTCTTGCAGATAGCTGTTCGTGCTGGTGGTTTCTCTGCCCTGGTAGTTGTTGGTATGGCTGTCGTTGGTATTGCTATACTTTATGCCACTTTTTATGTTTGGTTGGGGGTAGATTCACCAGGTGCAATGAAGGTTACTGACTGTAAGTTTTCAACTCCTATCCTATACTTATGTCAGATGTTAATAGTTGCTTCCTTTTATTCTCTTGGATTCCAAATGTTTAAGTCCACAGTTTGACTCTTAGATTTCTCTCCCAGTGCCTCTTCTTCTCGTTGGATATGGTTTTGGAGCTTCATTTGTTGCCCTTTTTGCTCAATTGGGTGGTGGAATATATACTAAAGCAGCTGATGTTGGAGCTGATCTTGTTGGAAAAGTAGAGCAGGGAATTCCTGAAGATGATCCTCGCAATCCTGCTGTCATTGCGGATTTGGTATAAAATCTTCCTCGTGTAACTTCTCTGTCAAGCACGGATGCTTGAGAGTGTTGCTTGTATGTTGTGGAGCAGATGTTGATGCGTTTATTCGAAGTGTCAAAGTTGTTAATTTGTCTTATGCTCGTTTGATCAGACATTCTGTATTATTGATATATCTTGCATTGTGATTCCTTCTTGTGCATTCTTCCACCCATGACCATGGTTAATTTCCTTGTTTGCTATGTCAAAGGTTGGAGACAATGTTGGCGACTGTGCAGCACGGGGTGCTGATTTGTTTGAAAGTATTGCCGCAGAAATTATCAGTGCAATGATATTAGGTGGAACAATGGCACAACGCTGCAAACTTGAAGGCATGTAACTGACTCATGTGCAAATATTTATTATTGAATTGAATTTGAAAATGTATTGGTACAGTTGGCGATTCACTTTCTCAAGGATGTGCTCGTGAGGGATTAGCATGCATTGCATTTTTTAGATTAGAGATAACTTTCATATGGGTTGTCATTTTTACCCTTCATTGGTTGTTTATCTCCTGGAGTTCGTTGAAATTCTGTTAGTATCACACGCCTTCCTTCCTCTGTTTCGAATTAAATGGCTGAGACTTTTTTTTGAAAATTTTTTTTTTAAAATATTCTGATATTGATTGGAAAAAGGTCAACTGTGACATATATTTTGACATGGAGGGAGAACTAAGATTATAATTTCTCCTGCACAATTAAATATGTTGATGGCTTAGAATTCTGAACTTCAAGGTGTTCAAAATTCTTGTCAAGGAAAAATAGGAAAGAAAATTGCAATGAAATGTCTGCCTTGGCAAAGAAGCATGCTCATTTCATGCTTGATACTGGTTGCATTACTTATTATCACATCATGTCAGCACTCCTTTTAGTTCGCCCATCTGAGAGCATGTTCCAAACTTGGTTAACACGTGGTGGTTGCTTGCCTTCTATGGAAGTTATATTAATAGAAGTTAGGAGAGCCATGATTATCTACATTGGCTTTTCTCATTGGGTAATGATCAAATTCCATGAAGAAATGATATTCCAACATTTTCCCCCTTTCTCTGCAAGACCTTTTAAGTTGAAAAACCAGTTTCTGGGGTTTAGATATTAAATTTTCTGGTCATATCCTTTGCTTTGATTTTGTTGCTATTACTTTATTTTTGGGATGCTACCTATTGGTCTTATTTTATTAAGATAGAGAGTAGGTTGGCCTGGCTATGATTGATGAGTATGGTGCCACGTGATGATAATTTATTTGTTCCTTTACTGAATGAATCATAGTTGACCTAAATCTTTAAGTGATACATGCAGATCCGTCGGGCTTCATTTTGTTCCCCCTAGTTGTTCACTCATTTGATCTGGTGATATCTTCTGTTGGAATATTTTCTATTCGGAACACATATGACTCTGGAGTTCTTGGTGATGTAGAGGATCCAATGTTGATTCTTCAGAAAGGATATTCTGTGACAATTGTTTTAGCTGTTCTGACATTTGGTTTGGTAATATTTCTATCTACTATTGGATCATCACCCTCACTTCCCTAGTGAATCTTGATTGAGATTGCCCATTATACTCTCTCTCTCCCGTTTGTGCATTTTGAATCATCATTTACATGCTGAAGCTGGTGTTTGCTGTTATTGTTTTTGCAGTCTACGCGCTGGATGCTATACACTGAACAAGCACCTTCTGCTTGGTTGAACTTCGCTTTATGTGGTTTGGTTGGGATTATAACAGCATATCTTTTTGTCTGGATCACACAGTATTACACTGACTACAAGCATGAGCCTGTACGCATGTTAGCTCTTTCTAGCTCCACTGGGCATGGAACTAATATAATTGCTGGCGTCAGTTTGGGACTGGAGTCGACAGCTCTTCCTGTCCTTGTGATAAGCATAGCAATTGTTTCAGCTTACTGGCTGGGTCAAACTTCCGGGCTGGTGGATGAGTCTGGAAGCCCAACTGGTGGGTTGTTTGGGACAGCCGTTGCAACTATGGGAATGCTCAGTACGGCAGCATATGTGCTCACCATGGACATGTTTGGTCCAATAGCTGATAATGCAGGTGGGATTGTTGAAATGAGTCAGCAGGTAATTTTCAGGTTCTTGGCTTTGGCCAACCCATTACATCAGCTTTTAGCAGTTGTGATATTATTATAAGTGAAACTTGTGACATGCCTTCTATTACTTACAGCCTGAAAGTGTTCGAGAGATCACCGATGTTCTTGATGCTGTTGGAAATACTACAAAAGCTACAACCAAGGGATTTGCCATCGGATCTGCAGCCCTTGCATCATTTCTTCTATTTAGTGCTTATATGGATGAGGTAGCTACGTTTGCACATGTACCCTTTAATCAGGTGGGCATTTTGTTATCTGTCAATTTTATCTTTGATTCTTTAAATTTTGTTTGACGGAAAGAGTTCTCTCTTCTCTTTATTCATATTTTTTAGCATTTTCTCTGAGCAGGTTGACATCGCCATCCCTGAAGTGTTTGTTGGTGGACTACTGGGCTCCATGCTTATATTTCTTTTTAGTGCATGGGCTTGTTCTGCAGTGGGTCGAACTGCTCAGGAGGTTGTTAAGGAAGTAAGAAGACAGTTCATTGAGAGGCCAGGCATCATGGTTTGTATCATAAACATTTATTTGGCATTCTTTATGTTGTAAAATGGATCTCAGATCTTAGTGATGTATCATATTATTTTTCATCCTGATAGGATTACAAGGAGAAACCAGATTATGGTCGATGTGTATCTATCGTTGCATCTGCTTCGTTGAGGGAGATGATAAAGCCTGGGGCATTGGCCATCATATCACCCATTGTTGTTGGTGAGTTATTAACCACCCTCTTAGATTTTGATAATTGATTATACTTCGTGAAAACCATACTATTGCGTCATAAGGTAATAGAATGGCCACTGCATGTGTTTAATACAGGCCATCACAATTTTGCGGCGTACATTTGTTGACATTTGTTGACATGATTTGGGTTTTCTCTTGATTTTAAATTTTCAACAACATAGCACATTGGACACCAGGATTCAAGAATTCATAAAATAAATAAATTGCATTCCATTTCTTAAAGTTTCTATCTGTAAAATATATTCTTTTTAAGAGTAAAGAGCAAGATAACTATATTTCAGAATATAGAATAAAAATTATGATTGATAACCAATAGTTAAGACGCACAGATACTTGTAAACTCATTACGTATCCGTATCCTACGCGTATCCAAATTTGGACACTCTTTGATGCCCTCTGATACGTATTGGATACAATTTTTTTTATTATTTTATATATTTTAAAAAATTTCGATACATATCGGATACGTATTTTTTTATTATTTTATATCTTCTAATTATTTTTGATACGTCTATCATTAGATGAGTAAGTTGAAAAGTGTTATTTTTAATGATAATGAAGAAGCTTATGTTGAAGAAAATGAAGTTTGAACAATTAAGGTAAATAAAAAAGATAACATGCATCATAACGGACAGGATTTTAGTGTAAGGCCTAGTTTGCGTGACTGATATTTTACATAATGCTTATGATATTTATCTTTAAAATTGTGCTGGGCACTAAAGCAAATAAAATGAGATTTTTGCTCATTGGAAGATTTTGAAGATTCTGAGTTGCCTGCATCTTATTCGGTTTTATGTAGGCCATACATTTGCAAATTTTTGTTGACTTTATCCCTTGTAATTTTCTGATGATCATTCTTTTCGTTCTGGTTTCTCATATAGATCTTGCTGAATTTCATATAGCTAAGGGAATATGCCCATGTAATTTTGCAGGTTTGGTGTTTCGGGTGCTGGGATATTATACAGGGCATCCATTACTTGGAGCCAAAGTGGTGGCTTCCATGTTAATGTTCGCCACTGTTTCTGGTATTCTCATGGCTCTTTTCCTGAACACTGCTGGAGGCGCCTGGGATAATGCAAAGAAGTACATTGAAACGGGCGCTCTTGGTGGCAAAGGCAGTGACTCCCACAAAGCAGCAGTCACCGGTGACACGTAAGTTTTAACATGTATTAAGTGTGGTATTACCAGTAGTTGTCCGGTTAGCTGTATAGTTTGATGATTTGCGTTGCTAATTTACACATCAACATCCAATAATGCATGCTCATGCACACACTAGATCTTGTTCCCACCACCAAATGTTCGATTGGAACAATAATTCACATTACCTAATCTTGTAATCGGGATTGTGAAAAAATCGAATTACCATTTGAAAGTTCGATCATAAACATTTTTTATGATTTTATTTTTGCAGGGTAGGAGATCCATTCAAAGACACTGCTGGACCATCCCTTCATGTACTTATCAAAATGCTTGCAACAATAACCCTTGTCATGGCTCCTATCTTTTTGTGAGAAAATGTCATGTCTTCGGAAATATACGACATGATTTTCCTGACTCTCGTGCTCATACTGCTATTTACACTGACGGGTTTTGATGTAGTTTGAGGGACCCTAATTCAGTACTTAATATTTTTCCCTGGCTTAATTTGAATAAGATGTTTCTTGCGCTCAATTTCTGAAAATTTTCGTTCTCTTTCTCCACATTGACATAAATGATGGAAAGGCAATGAGATATATTAGAAAACATCGGGCCAAAATTATTCCCGGAGCATTTTGATTGAGCTTAAAAGCAAGTCAGATGAGCTTTTGAAGTTACTTTTTACTATGCATTTCAAGAAATGAAGTCTTTGACTTTTCACAAGAGTGACTTTTAAGAACAGTCAAACTTGTAAAATGTGAGATCTATACCTTGGTTAAACCTGAAACTCGCAACTGTTTTTCAACTCTGAAAACTTTCTATAAAATTTTACGAGTCGACGATGATCTCTATTATGCCATAGCGGTATATAATCGAAATAAGTACCTAGAATTGCAAAGTTCTAGGTGAAGCTGGATGGGGTTAATTACTTAAATAGTCATCAAACTTTAAAAATTTTCTAAATAGTTACTGAACTTTGCAAAAAGTTCTTAGAGGGTCACTGAACTTTAAAACTTCCTTAAATAGTCACTGAACTTTGCCAACACTTCTTTAAATAGTCACTTAACTTTACAAAAAGTTCCTAGGGGTCACCGAACCATTGATGTATGGGGTCCCAATTTGCAAAGTTCGGTGACCTCATGGGAATTTTTGGCAAAGTTCAGCGACTATTTAGGGAAGTTTTGAAGTTCGGTGACCTCTTGAAAACTTTTGACAAAGTTGAGTGATTATTTAGGAAATTAACTCAGCTGGGGATGAGACACTTATTTGCTAGCTTTCTTCGAGTATCCTGATGCAAAAAGAAAGAGTTATCAACTTAATAACTGAACTACCCCCTGGTATACCCTTTTTTTCTTTTGGCCCTTTTGGACAGTGACTACTGACTTGTAAAGCTAAACACGTTTAGCGCGCAATCAATTAATATCATCGAACTTTATTCGACCTGATCAGATTAATAATTTGTGGTGAATAAACAAGTATGTAGATGAGTATTAATTTACTTGGGTGGTGCTGTTTTTAACTTATATTTAATTGCTATTAATTAAGAAATCAATAAGATTCACTTAAGTCAATTATAGAGATGGTTAAAAAAAATGCTAAACAAAGAAACTTGTTAACTATTCAGGAGATTCTTCTGGTTTTGATTTTTATTTTTCAGGTCTGAGAGCTGTTGTCATTTCTTCCATCATCATGAATATTGAACATTATCTTCAAAGGTACTTTTGTCGAACAACATATTCTATATATGGCTGCAGTGTAGTCGACTGATAAACTGTGCTCATGTTAGATTTTGATAAATAATAAATTCGGTTTTTACACGAGGGATAGTGTCGAAAACTAGACTTTTGTAGATAGATATGTCTATTTTTCGACAGTTTAATCTTTTAGACGAGACAATTTAACATTAGAGAAACTTGTCTAAAGGTTTAATTTATTGTCCTATAAACGTAAGAGCTGCGTGGCTTTGATGAGTGCAACAAGGCACCGAGAATTCTAAAACATTTTATAGAATGCAATGAGTGAGTATTATTCTTTTCTTCTCTTGTGCTTAAAAAAAAAAGTTCCAAGTAGTTTTCATTGATGTATGGTGCAGCTTTAGGTTTTGACAACTACATATTATCTACCAAATTCCAATGCCAATGACAATGGAAGTCTAAAGAAGAAAGAAGATTTGTATAAACATCAACAAGAGTAGTTTTCATGTCAATATTTTAACTATTCTTTTGTCAACTTATGCCTCCTCATCAATGCACACATACATATATAAATGTGTGTATTTCACTTTCGGTGTGTTAGGTATGAATTATGAAGTATTAAATCATACTAGACAATACATAAAAAAAAAAAAAGAGCGAAAATGTTACTATCCCAAGGCACATGGGGATATGGGAACGTGTTTAGTTCTCATTGGAAATAAATCCATTGAATATTCCTTTTGTTTCGTGCTTGACCTGATTGGCTTCGAAAGATTATCCTTCTTTCGTCTTCTCATGTTCAAATCTTATCATGTCATGTACAGTTTACCATACATTCGCACTCATTATGTTTATTGTCTTGGTTGTTTTCCCACCACAAAGCATTTTCAAAATTAATACTGAAAATGGCTGCATGCTCTATGTTGGGAGGACATAGACATCAACTTCTCTATTGGGTATTAATAACAACTATTTCTAAAACTTATGATTAAAAATAGAGAGTAAGTGAAGAATCTTTGCATATTCTACTCAACAAATATAAAACTAAAAGTCATATGAGACATGCTGCAAATATTTATACACATCAATTTTTAACTAACACTGCCAAACTAGTCTCAATAATTTGCCTTTAAATTATGTATTTTGGCTTGTTCATCCCCATTTCTTTCATTGTTAGTCCCAAATTCAAATAAACGAAGAGATATGGAAAACTTTATCAAATCTTATTACGGGCTTTTAAAGAAAGATGATACAACATGACTTACTTGAAAACTCGTTTACAAAAAGCAAAAATATAAGTAAAATATATCATACATTACTTGTAAATATAATTTTTTTTAATATCGGTAGTAATGTAATTTGAACTCACGATCTATGTTGGTTTCGATTCCATGTTGATGTGGTTCGACCGACGAAAAAAAAAAGTAAAAAACAATGTAGAATTATTTAACAGAAGGTGCCATGGAACTATTGCCTGGACACAACACCTGCACTGTTTATGACATGTTTAATTTGGACCCCTCAACAAGCTGGGCCAAATGGGCCAAGGCCCGACAAGAGAACAGGGCAGATATCCCTCACGTGTGGGTGGGGTTTTGAACTAGTCAAAGTCAACATTCCTCTTTCAGTATCAGTGCCACACGTGCTAATGTCCACTGTCCAGTCAATGGCAGACACGTATGGAGTCACACATACAGAGAATGGTGACATCTTCACATGATTTTTCAGCCAACTATATCCAGAAAAGATGGTTGAATTGTTCCTTATTTAAATAAATTTATTAATAACTTAATTTCATGCTCCAAACATTATCCCCAAGATTAAGGGCCTTCGTATAATTAATATTTTTGAAGTCCCACATTTGGCTAAATCCTTTGATTTTTACTTTGTTCTATTCATGATTATTCTTTTATGAGGTATGGCCCAATTAATAAAACCAACGCGATGTAACTTAAGATTGCATAAAAACGTACGAGCAAGCAATTTTAAAGTGTGGTTAATTTGATTAGGTCAAAATCAAAATCATTATCACAAACATTTGCAAGCTCATGCTATTGGTCATACATATAAAAGCCGTTTTTCTTGACAGTGTTTAAAGTGACATTTTAACAGATTTTCTTGACAACAGCTAAAAAGTAGCTTTTATGCATGGCCAAACATATAAATATTGCACTATTTTTTAAGCACGACTAAACATGAACATTTTTCACTAAGTCGATACTCAGTGTCTAACCTCCTTTTTTTTTTTCTTTTTTTTTTATTGACATCTTTCGACTTTGTTATATTGGTTGATTAGTTGAAATTTTTCAAACCTAACAATGTGTGGTGTGTGCTTATCCCCTCCTTAATTAATTTGGGAACCTTAATTGGACTACATTATTGTCTCAACTTGGTATAATTATCCACCAATTATACTTGTTTTTATAAGCTTTAAGAATAAATTATTGAAGCCAATTAGTGTCTCCATCCCCATCAACCTCATTGTTGGTTGTATTGTCTCAAAAAGCAAAACTAAATTGCACTATCACACTTAAAGTTTTTCCATAGTTATATATTTGTGTCATCTTCAAAGCCTCATTTTCACCATTAATACTGTAGGAATGACTATGAATGACCATGACATGATATAATTCTCAATTTCATGTTTGATAAGGTGGGTCGGCATAATAGTATTAAGGGCATGTTTGACAAGAATTTTGAAACGTCAAAACTATTTCTGGAACTAAAAATTTATTTTTAATATATGTTTGGATAATTTTTTTGAAAGTACTTTGTTTTCCTAGAAAGAAATTTTAGAAGAAATCGACCCAAATGATTTCCTCAAAAAGTTCTTCTAGAAAAAATAGAAACAAAAACAAAAGCAGAAACCTTGCTAAACTAAAATTAAGAAAGAAAATAAGTTAAAAAAATCTGAACTTGCTCCAATGCAAGATTCTAACTTCATGGCTGGTACAAAACACACCGTTAAGGAAATAGATTAATTATTTGAAGTATGAAAATTACGAGCGTGTGACTAGTCAATCTTTATTCATAATTAACTTGCGAACCCAGTTATAGATTAGTGATCTCTTAACTCTCATTGTATGGTAAGAAAAAACGAAGAATATGGTTTCTGAATCCTATCATATTTGTTGAAAGAAGATCGGTAAATCTCGTTATTTTTCCAACATTTGCAAATTCATCTGCACGGATATTTCCTTATTCAGTACGTGGACTATATTCTTTAAGATCAAACAATTCCATCAAATTATAATTTAAAAAATGTTTGCAAAAATTGAATCTGCAGGGAACCTTCTCCACATCATTTCATTATTTATCATTTATTACGGATGTCATAGCTCGGGATGCCATTCGAGCTCTCTAGAACAGAAAAATACACATGCGACCGTGAGAGTCGAAAAACAAATATTAAATAACATAGTANATACTTGGGCGTATAACTTGTTAATCACGTCATTGTTAGTACATGTGGACATTTGACATTCTTCGCGTCTAAATTATTAACCACTTGTTTTAGCAGTTTATATTTTGTCGTTTTCAAATTAATGATACAATCACGCACGCATTCACAGAGGACGATGTTGATATGTATTTGTACAGCAGCATAAGTAATCACGTCAACTTTTAGATGAGAAATCTATTTTGTCGGATTATATGAAATTTTCGTTTTTTTGCTAACCACCATTATTATAAATGTCAATTATGCTTCTTTATCACATAACTTATAAGTAATTAAGTTAGGGTAGTTAAAGAAATGGTAAAAATAATTTAAGGGCATGGTGGGGTCTTCGACTAGGTTAAAATCGTCAAGAATGGATTGGATTGAATCATTCGATGGAAATACCCTCCTCCCCCGACCAACACAGTGGCTAGCTTGCTCCCACAAGTGACGGGTGGGTGATGGGGCCCAAAAGACACGTAGCTGGGGGCAAGTAAAATAAAAAGTTTCTTCTCTTCTTCTTCATTTTTTCATCAACCGAAAATCAAGATTCGGTGAGACACGAAAACACAAGACTTTCTACTCGTGTCCTTTACTTGGTCCAAGTGAGATACTAATATTATTAATTGAGTGAGTAATCCTAACGCGTTTCGTCTTTTAAATCAACATTGTCACAGCAATTTGAACCCCATATTTTATTAAATAGCAATTTACTATTTAAAGGTGTTTATATACAGTTGCTTGCACCATTAAATACTTTTTCTTTTTCCTTTTTTCTCTCTCTCTCTCCACGTTACAGTTCTAATGAAGATCTCTTTATTTTCCTGTCTCTCTTTCATTCTGCATAAAAATCATCATTATTTTATATGCCTTTTAAGTTTGTCTTCTGTTCAATCCTTTTCATCTTCAGTTTCTTGTCTTCAAATCAAATCAAATGCGAGCCAAATTGCACAGTGTCCACTCAGATATTATTCACTGTTCGTTTACTGTAAAATGTTATAAGGCTGCAGTTTTGGTTGAAATTGGCGGGCTGATTCGAACAGGCACGACCTATAACTGGTCCCGCTTGGATAATGGGTTCAAGAAATGGTCCGTTTGACACCTCTAACTTAAGTTATGAAGTGATATTGTGTTTCGTACCTTCATTTAACTTATCGATTCCTTATTACTGGATTGAACTACTGCGTGCACATTCCCAGAAGGATGGTGGTGTTCGGAAATCAAATTTTCTCGAACTAGCTATTGCTCTGAAGACAAACTAACCATTTTAAAACTTCAGTTTTCAAGAAAACCAACCCTTTACTTCAGTTGAACATCACTATTTATGCGGGTCCTCCTGTTTTACAGGGTACCTTTATTGATGATCAATCTACTATAGGAAAAAGAACTGATTGGGGGATGACTTGAAGACGTGTAAATGTTACTTTTAGATAAATAACAATTTTAAAGAAAGTTTCACTAAGGTAAAGATTACTTCTCTATGAGTTAAATTAAAAGAGACATAAAGTAGGTTTGCTTTTCAATTATAATGAATAAATAATTTAGAAATTTGATCTAAGTTAACTTTATACATTGAAATTTTCGCGTCAACTTTCAACTTAGATTAAATAAGTAAAAGAAAGCATGTTCGAGTCCTAAGGGGCACATGCTTAACTACAGTTCAATAGCTCGTTTAGCTTCTTATCATTAGATGCTCAAATATGCTACACTACCTCTGTTTGGTAAGGATTAAAATTAGAATTTTAATAGATTTTG